GGCTAGTGACGTCAGACTGAACAACCGGATAGTTTATGAAGTTTGAGAATACGCCTACACATTTAGTCTCAGTGAGCCTGTAAAAACCTGTAAACCAAACAAACGGAGACAGAATCAATAGAGACCGGGCTCAATGTCTTCACTTATTTCTGCTGTTGTTGCTGTTGGTGGTCAAACTTCTCTTACAACATTTCCTTAACATTTTCACCAACATTAAATAAAAGCTGGTAGATTTTTTTCCTACAAAAATATGAAGCAGTTCCTGAGAGAACAGTTCATAATCATTCAACTCATAATAAGGCGAACGGTGACTCAGAGCTAATGTTTCAGGAAAAGTTAAAAATCAAATGGGAAGAGCTAAAAGAAAAAAAAAAAAGAAAGAAAAAAAATAGATACAATTAAATTAAAAAATATATATAAAAGTTTTCAGTGTGGATCAACAGACCAATCAGAAAAGATTCCCTTCTGTGTGTTCAGTGTGGGAGGCATTGTTAAAGCTGATTGGACAGGACACTGCCACATCGCTGCAAACCCGACAGAACACAGCCAATCAGAGCCTTTTCAAACTGTGCTGCATTCAGGGTCTGTTCTTCCACAGTCATAAATCAGGAAAACTAGTAGGATTTAATGATTCCCGAGGAGCTGTCTCCTGCACCTGAATGCACCGTTTTTTGATTTTTCATGTAAAATTCTGCAGACAGTGAATGCAGCACCTGTCTGTGCTAGCAGAGCATCATGGGAACAGAAGTCTAAAGCTTTTTAGCAGTTTACTTATTTCATCAACTGGGTCTGGTGTGGACACCTGAGTGGGCGGAGCTTGCTGAGAGCCAGGCATTAAACCCCACCCACCCAGGACGACAAGCTGCTGTAACGCTAACCAAATCAACAAAAGACACCAAAGATTAAAACAACAAAACAACTAAAGTGGGGGACATTTTCAACCAATCAGAGTGAGGGGGGGGGCTGTAGTTCAACAACTATAAAATACAAAAAAGAAACACTAAAAGACTTTACAGGTTTAACCTCCGAGCTTCTTTCTGTTGGAGTAAATGTGGGCAACCGTTGACCCAGAAGAGGATGGGGCGGGGCTACAGGACAAAGCAGGTATGACATCACAGAAAGCGGAGGTGGCGGTGAGGGGGCGGGGCAGAGAAACCCAAAGACAGAACATGCATTGACGAGCTGCTCGCCGTGTTGTGTTTACAGGTTTATTACTGATCAGAGTGTCAGAGTGCGATTCGTCTTTATTCCCACTAAGAATAAATATTCTGCTCAAACTGAACTCAAACAGGAAGAAGAAGAAGAGGAGGAGGAGGGGGGCAGCGTCCGCTCGCTCGCTCGCTAGCTGGCCGTCTGTCAGGAAGGACTAACTGTGGCGTCTAAATCACCCCGTTTGGCGTTTCTTGGTTAAAGTTCGCTCTCGCCCCCCTAACCTCCCTCTCCCCCGCCCCCCTCCCTCCCTCCCTACGGCCGTGCGGCCTTCAGTCTCTTATGGTTTTTCTTTTGATATCACCTCCTCTCGCGGCTTCGCTCCGCCAAAGATGGCGGAGTTGGGGTTGGCGACCTGGTTGAGCGGCTCAGAGACGGTCCGAGGCTTCAGCTGCAGCCGAGGCCGCTGTGCACGCTCCTCTGCAACAGACACATAACAACAGACAGTCAGTGCACGCCGGGGGAACTTCCTGTTTTTAAATCAACAGACATTTTACTTCCAGTCAGGAAAAATCTCAACTGGGGGCTTTTTTCCAGAGAAGCATTTCTATAACAAGCAGGAAACACTCTTCTTTCTAACCCCTGTGTGGGACACCAGGAGGAAGCAAAGCAGGCCACCAGGGGGAGCCTCTAGAAACACAGGTATGTGCACATGCTGTGCTGATGTCACGCTGCTGTGTTCTCAGCTCAGCGTGTCAGGTGTATGCCTCACTGGCTAATCGGACAATCATCCGCTCAGGATTGTGATACTGCGATGACCCTTCCTACTCTCTCTGCTATCCTTCCTCTTCCTGGATTTGTGCGACAGGCGGGTCCTAAGACGTACAGACCTGTTAGCACCCGGCTAATTGTTTTCTATGTATTATCTGTGTCACAGTCACTGCTGATACAGCGCTGCCATATTTTACCAAACCTAATCCACCTGTGTCAGAGCGTTGCTGAAAAACAAAAACAAAGCAGGAAGTCATGTCACCTTCAGACGGTTCCCTGAAGTCTGTCGTTCCTCCGCGTGGGGGTCCGTCTCTGTAGCGACCCATCCCTGCACCTCCACCCCTTCTGTCACTAGGGCGACTGCCACCGCCTCGACTCCGCCCCCCCATGTAGTCATCATCTCTAAAACCTGCAGAGAGACAGGTGAGCAGACAGACGCGCACACAGGTGAGTGTTCAGATAGACGGCCACAGGCGCCCTGAAAGAGTCCAGACCTGGAAATGAATATGAGATGGTTGAGGTGAAGGGCATGATGGGGGAAAAACAGGGTGTGTCCAGCAGCTTCAGGAGGCGGAGCCAGACACTAGTTACCACTTCCTGTTTGGTGTGTTAGCCTCTAACGTTAGTCTCCCTTGCTGGTCAATCATGCCTCACCACCAGAGCAATAATCAGAATATGGCCTCACATCATATATGCAAACAGAGAGCAGTGCACGTCTGCCGTCTAAATATTACTTCGATTAGTTTTACTGCTTTAAAAAAAGTTTGGAGGCCGAGGAAATTTTCCTGCCGTCCCATTGGCTAGAACCCAGCTGGCAGTGCCCTGATTGGCCGCTGGAACGCGATGCTGTCCAACCTGAGCTGCTGAACTCTTTGACCGCACCTCCTCCTGGCTGGTCGAAGTCCTCACGGGAGTCGCGTCCTCCTCCTCCTCCTCTGGGAGCGCCTCGAGAGCCTCCTCGTCCTGCAGAGGACACGGGGCAGTTTAACACTGAGGGGGGAGGGGGGGGAGAGAGAGGAAAGAAAACAGAGGAGGTGGCAGCACCTCCTGCTGGGAGGAGCTACACTAGAGAGGTGAAGCTTGTTAGTGGTCCATGAGCCAATCGGAGTTAGAGAGAAGCAGCAGCGCTCTGAACACTGAAGAAGGTGAAAGGTCAGCAGGAGGAGACGTCAGGTGGCCTCCACCTACCTGCAGGTGACTACGAACAGCAGGGAGGTGAAAGGAAAAGGGGGAGGTGTCTGTGGAGGTGAGGATGAAGAAATGAAGCATGAAAGATGAAGAGTCCTCCTCAGAGTCACAGGGCAACATCAAACATGCTTCGTCTGCGTTTCCTTAAGGCTGGACTTAAATCTGAATCAGATTCAACCGGCGCCCGCCTCCAGCACGTGTCAGGACCTCTCCCCTCTTTTCCTAAGCCCTCATCACTTATCCTAATCACCTTTTCTTGGCCTTGATCAAGGAAACATGGTTAGGAACAGGAGCCAGGAGGTCTTCTTGTATCAGGGAGGTCCCAGCACCACGTGACCTCCCTGATACATTACAGTTTGGGGCGTATCGCGAGCAGGCCCCGCCTCCCATTGGTTAAAATGTTCAACTTTATTCATAAAGCGCCAACAAACACTTGAAGCTTCTACTAACGTCTGCTGGAGCTATCGTTTGGGTACGGGCGCCGTTGAGCGGGGATGCCCTGTCCTGCGTCCTTAACTGACCAATCAGCACAGACTAGCAGAACACTGATGATTTATGGGCAACTCAGCTGCAGAAAAATGTTTTGGTAAAGAATTTGGTGAAAACTATTTTAGCCGTCTTCTGCTCCAGGTCACTGAGGAGCACCTCAGAGCTTTCCCGTTTCGAAACGCAGGCCTGATTTTCTCTGGGATCTAACTCCAGCCTGGAAACCTTCCTACCACGTTAGCACTCTTCTTCTCTGCTCGTACCTCTGCCGTCGTCTTTCCTGAAGCCAAAGCCGCCCGCTCCTCGTTCTTGTCTTCGTCCCTCTGCGATGTCCACCCTCAGTGACCTTTCACCTAATAACTGCAGGTCAGAGTTCCTGTCAGACAAGACAGCAGCGTGGCAGAACCAGAAAACGTCGGGTTTATTAAATCAGATACTCACGGCGCCGTCGTATGTCAAAGCTTCTTTTAGAGATTCCAAATCGTCAAATTCAACATAACAAAAACCTGAAAGAGACGCAAACAGTCAGACAGGAAGTTTCACCCGAGGCAAGCTTCATCATCCCCGACACCCACACCCCCTCCGAACCTTTGAACTTGTCTGTCTCTTTGTCTCTGACCAATCGGACGCTGCGGATGTTGAGCTCTTTGAAGATGATGTCGATGTCTCCCTGCACCGTGTTGAACGGCAGGTTTCCCACATACGCCGTGAACGGAGGCTCTGTCGGCAGCTCCTTCTGCTTCCTGGGGCCTCCGGAACCGCTGCCGCCACGGGGCCTGATGGGAGGGGGGACAGAGGATCGTGAGACAGGGACACAAGTAAAGAGGATTGTGGGATGTAGAGGTCAGACTGGACCAGAGTTAAAGACAACAACTCTCCACACATTAAGCTCACTGGTCTTCCAAACTGGGAGTGCTCGCTTTGGAGTCTAAACAGGAAATGGCGGGGACAGAAAGACCTAAAAGCTGCAATCGGCCCCGTGATGCGTTCCCAATGACTTTATGAGCTCGGTCGCTCGTTCACGGCCGTTTTGTGAAACGGAATGAGAGCCTGACCAATCAGACGATGCTGTTGGACGATACTGGCTGTCTGTCGATCTTATTAATGAAAATGATCAATAAATGAAGATTTAAAAAAAGAGACAAACAAGTAAATAAATTACTACACATAACGAATGTTGGAAATCTGTCTGAAAGGAAAAACCATCAGCTGATATCCAAATGCTGTAGTTTGATGAACGATCAGAAATAATCTCACAATCTGCCAGAGCTAAACTTTACATTTTACATGAGTTTTTTTAAACATTTCAAGTTGCTATCCGTCAATACAACCCTTATATGTCAAACTTGAATAATTTGTCTGTAAAATGTCCACAGTAATTACATACATTATTTAATAAGCGGAATAAGCCAATAAGAAATATCAAAATTGTAAGAAAGAAAAGTTGCACACAATAGTTTCCAACCACAGGAAATGTATTTTGAGTCTTCAGAATTTCATTTGTGAGACTCATTTTTATAAACTGGAGCAAAATGACAAACAAAGCATCAAAATAAACCGTTTCCAGTATTCCAGCTTTGACAGGCTTTGGAGGAGGAAAAAACTACAGTTCCTGCAAAAATGACATCACTTCCTGTTTTCACAGCTAAAGGCACACTGAAACCACACAATAGTTGATGCTCACAAGGTTATGACGTATGCTCCAACGTAGGAAGTGCAAAGAACAGCTGATCAGATCACAAATCGTGCGTCTGGAGCGGTTTTTGTGATTTCTGCAAACCCGTTAGTGGAAGCAAACAGCGGTCTGGGAGATGTTGAATGTGTGATACGTAAGTGCACATCTCTAGTTTTATATCCATTTATAGGAATTATTGCTCTAACTTATCATTATAACGGGTAAATCTGCAGATTTCCACCAACTGAACAACAAAAATAAATAAATAATCATAATTGGAATTTATGACGCTTTGAAGGTGTGTTTACGATGCCAGTAAATCGGTGTCCTGTTGTTCTTATCAGGTAAAAAGACGTTTTTTCCATCTGCTTGACATGCTGCCGTGCACCCGTCAGTGTAGATCTGCGTTTCAGAGCAGCTGGTTTAACCCTCTGTAGCTGCTCAAACTTTGAAACAATTATAAACTACAAACCGGACTCAAAACTCTGAGCCACTTGGTTATCGCTCTGCTGTGTGCTGCTCCACCTGCTCCTGGATCACTGATGGAGGTCTGATGGAGCAGGAACACAGCCAGAGGAGCTTCGGCCATGCAGCTTGGGGTTAAAATGTAGGAGCTGAGCAGCGCGTCAGCCTGCTCTACATGAACAAAGTCAGCCAGCTTGGCTCCTGCTCGCTGCTATTTGGAGTTGATTTGCATCCATCGCTGACCGGTTGTTGTTGCTATGATACAAACGCGCAGCTAAAATCAGGTGTTGCATATAAAACATGCTGGCAAAGGAAAAGTACCGGCACTGTGTTGTGGTTTGATCAAACTGAGGCTTTCTCAGACTGTTTGGCCTGACCATAGATGGACCGCCCACCCCCACAGGCCCACTCTCAGCCTCCAGCACTCGTCCTAACACAGCAACTTCAAACTGAGTGCTGCAACACTTTATACTATGCAGCCACCACAAAAATCCCTCAACATGAGCGATGACCTGACGACCTTTGGCCAGTAATAAAGGATTTCAGACAGGGTTCCCCTGTGAAGCTGAAACAGACCCTCACTGAGGAGCAGTTTTCTCAGTGTTTCCACATTCACACGTCAAAAGTGTTACCTCAAACTGCCTGCAGGAGTCGTTTAAACTGAAGCAAAAATTTGTGCTGCTCCCACACACCACCTTTTCTTCTTAAACACAGTAACAGCAGAGAAACTGATGAAGCTTTAACTGACTTGTTGGAGGCTTTGTTACAGGCTGCCAGCAGCAGCATCTCCCTGTAGCAGGAATGCCAGTCGCATGCAGAACTCCACACCTTCTACTAGCTTTGCCTTTAAAATAAATGGGATATCTGGGAAACTTGGGACTCTTTTTCACAGACACAGATTTATTATAAACAACAAATCTATTAATAGATGTTTGGTTCTTATAGATTATGTTGAGCTTCTTTACGAACCAGTAAAAGTCTGACCTACTGACATGGAGCCAGCTGCTAAACTCTTGAAGCAACAGTCTGGATTCAGATCTGAAATCAGCCGTCTAGCACCCTCAAACAAAGCTTCATGCAATCACAGTCTACTCTGCCTCATTTTGGAGCCATCAGGAGATCATCTTAAAAAGAGTTATACATAAATTTTTCACTTATATTGCAAGAAATCCCCACAAACAGAGGTCCAATAACGTTCAGGACAGCGGTGCAGAGTGACTAGAAGAACAATCAAGACAACATCTGGAGCTCTGCTCCCTCCCTGCAGGACTACAGCGCCCCCCACTGTTTCAAACACAGACAGGCTTCAACATGTGCCGACATGGACCTCAGTGCTCTGAGAAGATGCTCAAGCAGAAGTTAGCACAGTTTGATTTACCAGACATTACCTTCACACAGTTTAGTCTGGTTTCTGTTTTATGTATTGTCTTTGCAGGGCTCAGCCACTCAATCAGCCCAGACTCCTTCAAACTCTACAGCCCACCCTGCTCCAATGGAAGCATGCAATGAGGGGAATTCCCTCCACTCCTAAAATATAGACTTCAGGCCCCATGTTCAGCCCCAACGTTTATCCCCTCTCATCAGATTCAGCTCCTGACAGAACAACTGATGAAGAAAAGCAGCCCTTTAACTCTTCATCATTCTCTAAACTTTGATTAAAATTTGGTTTGGTGCTCCCGAAGAAACAGAAATAAAGATTAATTGCTGAAACAATTAATCGACCAAAAATTAATCTCAGCAAACTTTCGGCAAAAAACCCTGTTTTCTATTAATTCGTTCATTAAGTCTGTGATAAAGGAGAGAACATCAGTCCGATCTTCTCACAGGTGACTCCTGCCTGTACTGATGTTAAAGCTTTGTGTGCTGCAGACATCCTGAAGCCCCCTCCCTCCAGGACAAAAAAAAAATCACTTTTTTTAAAAAAATCGTTTATCAGCAATCAGATAACAACACGCAGTGCCACAGAGCGTAAAACAGCCGCTAACCTGACGGTAAGCGCATCTACCGGCTCTAACCGACTCCCACCCTCAGCTCTGACTGCGACGTGGATGGATGTGCAGCAGGGGACACATGATGCAGCCATGCGGGCAGCCTGCAGCTCCGCCACCGCCTCCACCTAAACCTGCTGCGGCCTCCTTCCCCACCACTCGCCTCCACCGCCTCAAAGCCACACGCGCTGAGTGGGTATCTGTACCGCCAAGCTGCGGGACGATCCACGCTACACTGGAGAGCCTGTTCTTACTGTCTACATCTAGCTAGCCGCTTGCTAACTGTTAGCATGTCAGCTACGAGACCGCGGTGTTTCCCGGCTGATATCTCCGGGATACCCTCATGCCTGCTCGGCCTGTTCAGCAACCGCGGGGCGTGTCGAGCTTCGGGGCCTACACAGCCTGCTCCCCTGACTCGGGGCGGACAGCAGCGGGAAACACGGCGACGGTCCGGTCGAGTTTGCTCTTCGGGGACACAACAAAGCTGCCGTGCACGGCGGAAACTCACCCTCGGCCGCCGCCGAAGCTGCCGTAGGCCCGGTCCCGTTCATCGTAGTTGTCGTAGTCCGCCATTACTGCTGCTTGTGTGTTGGAGGAGGAGGTCCTACACGTCACACACACAGCGGGTTTAGCTGCCCGCAGAGCGCCTGACCGGTAATATCACACACTAACTTCTTTTTTACTAATTGTGTTTTTTTTTAATTCAGTTTGAAAAGAAATATTTATAATATAAGCAATGAAAACACAGCACGAACGTGAAAAACACACGAAACTATATGGAATTGTTAAAATAAATACAAAGTAAACAATAGTAACAGTTGTTAAAATGTCATAATCCTGAAGCCAATAAAAGTTTGGCCCGTTGTTGCCTTTGGATCGCACTAGTGATGGGAAATCCGGCTTTTTTTAGGGAACCGGCTCTTTCGGCTCCCAACCGGCTCTTCAGGTTGTTTTGTTGCTTTAATTAATTTATTATCAACAACAATATAAAATTATGCCCAAAAGGAATTACTAATGTAAAAAAAACAAACATGTTTTTTAATATATGTTTATATATAAATATAAAAGCACAAGCAAAGTCCAAAACACATTTCTAGAGTTAACTGAACTTCCAAAACAGAGCTACCTAGATCACCTAAATTTACCCGTTACTACCACACACCAAATCC